TATATATATATATATATATATATATACACACACACACACGAAAATGATCTCCTAAACACGATGCTTAGGTTATGTTAAGCATCGATGGCAATGCATACCATTTAATTGGTGAATAAATTAATAATAGGTCTCATGTATTTAATAATTCACCAATTAAATGGTGTGCCATGTCACCATTGCTTAGGAGATCATTCTTGTGTGTGTATATATACACACACACATGGACAAATTTCATAAAAGGGAGTCGTGGGCTGAATTTGCAAGATATATACACAAAAAAACCAAAAATTTTGTGGCCGGTGGAAACAAAAAGGGAGAGGAGTCAAACATTGCCAGCCAACTTTGAGGAAATCTATTATACACACACACATTGGCAGCCAACTAATGGGTGAGATATACAAAAAGGCGGCTGCCTTGGTGGAAAAAATATATACACGCCAACAATGAAGAAAAAGGGAGAGAACGATAGAAAAGACGACTGGAACACAGCAAAAAAGGAGAGCTAAGTTCGTTTTATTTACACAACAGAAAAAGGCAGAGGCTGGAATTAAAGGGAAGACATATACGCACAAATGGTAGAATGTAGAAGGGCTGGTTGCTGTAGAATTAATTCTTTATATACACAAATTAACAAAGGTACCTTTGAGAAGAAAACAACTCGTCAAAGTAGAAGAAAAACACACAAGTACAAAGTCGAGAAATCCACGCCACAGATTTGAACTTTCCACTTTGCAGCACTGCACAACTGCTGCTTCTGCTTCTCATCCCTGACTTCACACACGCTTCACCACCACGGATTCGCACCTCCCATGGATTCATGGATCTACTTCGAATGGAAATATGGAAATGGAAGGGTTTGCACTATCAAAAATTGTGTTCTGAATTATTTCTTAATGTTCTGGTGTACAATGATTCAATACAAAAATATATAGGCAAAATGTTGAATCTATTCTCGGCTATAAAAATTTTATGGCTAAATGGCCTCCAATCTCCCTTGATTTCTCTCTAATTGACAACTCACTCCAACACTCCCCCTCAAGTTGATGCATAGAGATCTCTAATGCTCAACTTGTCAAGTGAGTTGTGAAAATCGTTTTTCTAGATAGCTTTGGTAAGGATGTCTGCTAGCTGGTCTTCAGACTTTACAAATGGAAATTTGATGATCCTGGCTTCCAGGTTCTCTTTAATAAAGTGTGTCCCCACTTCCGCATGCTTAGTTCTATCGTGTTGAACTGGGTTATGAGATATGTCAATGTCAGCTTTATTATCACAAAAAAGATTCATCTCTGAAGTAGGAGCAAAACCAATCTCCCTTAGTAATTGTTTGAGCCAAAATAGCTCACATAGTCCTTTGGCCATTCCACGAAACTCCACCTCTGCACTTGAGAGTGCTACCACTTTTTATTTTTTTCTCCTCCATGCAACTAGATTTCCACCAACAAATGTGAAATACCCCAAAGTAGACTTCCTATCTGAGAGATTTCCTGCCCAATCTACATCCGTATAGCCGTCAATCCTCAAGTGATGGTTTTTTGAAAACATGATCCCCTTTCCAAGGGAACCTTTCAAGTATCGTAATATGTGAATTACAGCATTCATATGATCCTTGCTTGGGCAGTGCATAAATTGACTTACTACGCTTACAACATAAGCAATGTCAGGTCGAGTATAAGAAAGATAAATTAGCTTGCCTACTATTCTTTGATATCTCCCCTTATCCGTTGGTATTTGGTGATATTAACCCAGTTTGTGATTTTGCATCATTGGAGTGTCTGCAGGCTTACATTCTAGATTCCTACTTCAGATAGTAAATCTAGAATATATTTCCTTTGTGAGAGGAATATGCCACGTTTAGACCTGGCTACCTCTATTCCCAGGAAATATTTTAGTCCTCCCAAGTTCTTCATCTCGAATTCAGTTGCTAATCGCTTTTGAAGTTGAGATATTTCTTCTGTATCATCCCTTGTAATTATCATATTATCAACATGAACTATCAAAGTTGTTATCTTGCCCATTCGATGTTTTAGAAAGAGAGTGTGGTCTGAATTACTCTGTTGGAAGCCATACTTCTTCATCGCCAAGCTAAATCTCCTAAAATATGCTCTAGGCGATTGTTTCAATCCATAGAGAGCTCTCTATAATTTACACACCAATCGTGTATTTGAAGAAGGCAATATAGCCCGGTGGAACCTCCATGTAGACTTTTTCCTCTAGATTGCCATTGAGAAAGGGATTTTTTACATCGAATTGCTGTAATGGCTAGTCTAAATTTGCTGCAAGAGATAATAAGACTCTGACTGTATTAAGCTTGGCCACCGATGAAAATGTCTCTTGATAATCTACTCCATATGTTTACGTGTACCCCTTTGCCACCAACATCACTTTATACCATTCAATAGTTCTGTCTGCCTTGTATTTGATGGAAAATAACCATTTACATCCCACTATTTTTGCTCCTTCTGGTGGTGGACCTAAAGTCCATGTCTTATTCTTTTGCAATGCTTCCATTTCTTCCTCTATTGCCCGAGCCCACTTTGAGTCAGCTAGGCTTCTTTGATGCTAGTTGGAACGTGGTGGGAGGAGACTTTATGCACAAAGGTCTTGAAAGGCTCAAATAGGTTCTTTGTTGACATGTAATTTGCAATTGGGTATCTCGATCTTCGTTCTTTGACCTCAGATGAGTATTTGTCAGGCGGTTTACCTCGATTATGCCTAAAAGGTAAGTTATAACCAGTAGAGATATCCCTATTATCATTTGGAGTTATAATATTAGAACTTACCTCAGGAATATTCTCAGGAGATGGGTCTTCGGGTACTTAAGAGTAGGGAAAGTGAGGTCCTTCAATTTTTGATTCTGGAGCTTAAATTCCCCTTCTAGGTTCCTCTATTTCTATTCCCATTGTTGTGTTCTCCAATCTTGGAGTACCTATAGCTACATTTCTTGAAATTTTACTCGTATTACCATGTGACTCCAAGTTGGTTGCATTTTCATGAGAACTGGAGTTCATGGAGTTCGCCCTATCCCATTTCAACCTATTTATTGCTTCATCTTGTGTCTCTCCCTGACGTGATGAATTGGGTGAATAAAAATTTTCTAATTCCACAAAAGTGACATCCATAGTGATATAGGTTCACTGAGTTGTAGGATCAAAGCATCAGTATCCCTTTTGGTGAGAAGCATATTCTAAAAACAAACACCGTAGTGCACAAGGATCAAGTTCGGTTCTTTGATTCTTGTGAAGATGAACACATGCAACACACCCGAACACCTTAGGTGAAAGCATCAAGGTAGTAGGTAGTGGAGTAAATTTGGATAGGGCCTGTAGAGGAGTCTTAAAATCTAAGACTTTAGAGGACATATGGTTTACGAGATAAACAAGCATGGTAACAGCAACAGCCTAATGTCGTTTAGGTACATGAGCTCCGAGTAAAATTGCCCTTGTGGTCTCAAGAATATGTCTATTCTTTTGCCCAGCAACTCCATTTTTCTAAGGAGTTTATGGATAAGAAGTCTCATGGATAATGCCACATTGTTGGAAGTATGCTTGTAATTTGTGGTTAACATATTCCCCACTATTATCGGATCTTAGAATCTGAATTTTTCTAGAAAATTGAGTTTGAATCATAACATGAAAGGATTGGAATACTTGCCGCAATTCATCTTTAGTTTTGAGCAAATATAACCATGTCATACGAGTACAATCATCCACAAAAGTCACAAACCAGCGAATTCCAGACACATTAGAAACTGGGGAAGGACCCCACGAATTATAGTGTACCAGAGCAAAAGGAACTTCACTCTTATTCAAACTCAGCGGATAGAAAGCTTGATGACTTTTAGCTAGAATACAAGACTCACATTTAAAGTCAACCATTTGAAGATTGGAGAATAACTTAAGAAGTAAGTGTCTCGTGTAGGTAAATGATGGGTGACCCAATCAACAACGCCAAAGCAAAATTTGCTGCTCTTTATTACTAGTGAAAAGATGTGTGAAATGTGCTCGACCTATGCTGAAGTCCTCCATATGGTAGAGTCCTCCCCTCTTAGTACCGCGCCCAATGATCTCCTTGGTGAGAATATCCTGTATAAGACAAAAATTCGAATAAAATAGTACTGTAAAATTTAGATCAATGGTAATCTGGCTTACAGATAGTAGCTTATACAAAAGAGAAGGCATGAGTAGAGTATTATGCAGTTGAAGAGAAGGAGATAATTTTACTGTGCCGGCTCTTGTAACTAGAGATGTCACGCAATTGGTATTGACAATGTTGGAGCGTCGTGGTAAAGACGTTTGAGTGAAGTCTGTGGTAGTAAAAGTCATATGGTTGGTGGCACCAGAGTTAAGTAACCACGCACCACTCTCAACATCTTGCTGGGTACTGTGGAGGGCAATACCAAAATTACTAAGAAGGGTAGCCATTTCTTGCAAAGGTACATCTGTTGTGGGCAATAACAATAGTCCAATAACAACAAGCAACAGACCAAACAATAGCCTAGAATAATAAATGGTAGCCAAAGTAATTTGAACCCAACTTACTAAACTGTTAAAAGGAGAAAGCAGAGTAGTAAGACCAAATATCAAGTCCAAATAGCTTCAATCCAAAAGAAGATTACTAGCCATATTACTAGCCCAAATATCAAGTCCAAATAGCTTCAAATCTCAAATATAGTTACGATACTTGCAGTTGAGCCACCAAAAAAAATAAAAGGAAAAACTGGAATACTCACAACCAGAAGATGCCGAAATCTGGACAAAAAAGGGTCATTAGAATTTTCTTTGATCTTGTTTGTTGCAAGGATCCAACCCGTTCCAGAAGATTGATTGCTTTGATCTCTTCTTTCCCTCATAGTTTTGTATTTCTTGTTGAGAATTTTGATACTTGCAAGCTTCGGTTATGCAGGAATAACCAAGTGCTCGACGGTCCACAAGAATTAGAATTGGCACAGTGAATTTTCTATTAACTCAGTGATTTGGAATCTATGAAATACAAGATATTGAATTGTAAAAATTCGGGTTACCGAGGATGAAATTTGGCATAAAGAAGAAAGGCGTTATTTTAGATCTGATACCATGTCATAAATTGTGTTCTGTATTATTTCTTAATGTACTAATTTACAATGATTCAATACAAAAATATATAGGCAAAATGTTGAATCTATTCTCGATTGTACAGATTTTATGGCTAAATGGCCTCCAATCTCCCTTGATTTCTCTCTAATTGACAACTCACTCCAACATGCACTTTGCGTCTTTGCTGCTAGTTTCCTGGATTGGATTTAGGCTTGGGAAAATACGAAAATGGAAAGGTTTGCACTATATTATCAAAAAATGAATGGAGTTTGGAGTTTCTTGGATTGGATAATTTGATTTTTCCTATTCAGCCTAATATTTTTAAACAAAAAGAGGCCCATCCTAAATAAAATATTAGCCTAAAATTATTCTTTTTTTTATTTATTTATTTCAAAACAATTGAGATGTCACACGTGTAATGGGCCTAATGTTTTTTTTGAAGAATGCCCAATTGAAAAAAGGCCTACAATTAAAAAAATTGCCCCAACCCATGATCCCACCCAACTCGCCTTCTTAACCCAAAAATGAAAAAACATTGCGAAAAATGGACTTTCACAACTTTTATCAAATGTTGCAAAAATGAAAAGTTTCGCAACACTAAATAAAAGTTGCAAGAGGCGACATTGGCAACGTTCACTTAAAAAATGTTGCCAAATGTCAATTATTAACATCAATGGCAACATTCACTTCTTATAATGTGACAATAGACCCTTTTAGCAACATTTAATTGATGAATGTTGCCTTTTTTTGTAGTAAATAAATGGTAAATTATTTATAGCTAATTAGTGTACTAATTTCTTGTATAGCTAGTTTCCTTATATAGCTTTGTAATATTCTATAAATTAAGGAGAATACACACGAGAAATTTATTTTACAAAATTTGGCATGGTATCAGAAACCTAAAATGACTTTCTAGAGAGTGAAATTACTGCTTTGGCTAAGATTCTCATCTAGCGGAAGCATTTAGTTCCCTATTTCATGTAATCGACGATATTGGTAGTTGCTACTCGTATTTTTGGCGCCTTTTATGGTCGATTGTTGGTTCATAGCAGTCGACGTCTATGGTCAATCCTCTGATCTAAGATTCCATTTCGCAATTCATAATAGTTAGCTTTATCCGTGGTTTCTGGTCTGACTTCCAACTTTGTCTGAGGTTTCATTTCATGTTTTTCGTATGTCATTTTGGTCTTAGCAGATGGTTGGAAGAGATTTTTTTCGGCATTTGTGAGGTTCCAACATATCTCTGTCTCTAGCAATGTTCTAAATGGCAAGCCTTGGCGATGCCTAGGTGCCAACAAAGTGTCTGGAAGCATTTTAGATAATTCATAATAGTTAGCTTTATCCGTGGTTTCTGGTCTGACTTCCAACTTTGTCTGAGGTTTCATTTCATGTTTTTCGTATGTCATTTTGGTCTTAGCAGATGGTTGGAAGAGATTTTTTTCGGCATTTGTGAGGTTCCAACATATCTCTGTCTCTAGCAATGTTCTAAATGGCAAGCCTTGGCGATGCCTAGGTGCCAACAAAGTGTCTGGAATGGCATTTTAGACCTTTGCGATAGTTTAGTTGTCAAAAGAAGTCTTTGACCACTTTAAGGCGTACCTAGGCTCGTATAGGCGCACTTTGGTGCTCATTATTAATGCTTTTAATTTTTATTTTTTACTACATAAAGTTTTCAAGTTTGAGGTCAATTTGATTGGAGACCCAAAAGTAATAATTATAAATTTTTCAACTTTTAGGCCAATAGATTAAAATGTCCAAAAATTTGCTTACCTGCTTATTGGTCCACTAATTTACAGAGGGTAATGCAAAGGATTTTGTTGCAAACTTTCGATGTCGGATAAGAATCTTTTTGGTTTGGTTGTAATTTATTGTACCTTTGGTTGGCTACAGTACATTGTACCTTTGGTTTACTTGTAGTGTATTGTACTATTGTAAATAGTAATTTATGTTTTATTAAGTTAATTAATCATTTTGAATCTTTTACTAATTAGTAAAAATTAAACTCTTCATATATTTTAGTTAGCATTATTATAATATATCTTGTTTATTGTTCAAAAATATATTTATTTTATTAAGCTTTTAAAACTGTATTTGACACTATGATTTGTATGTATTAGTAATAAATTTTAAATTGATTAAAAATTTAAAATATTTTTTTTCTTGTGTGCCTAAACCTCACTATGCGCGAATCAATTGAAGCTTAGCCTCTATGCATCGTCGAGCATTACGCTTTTTAGAACATTGGTCTCTGGTAATACATCAATTGCTCATTCTTCTAGGTTATTAGACTCATGTGTTTCTAGTCATATGACTCATGATCCTCTTTTACTTTGTAACATTAGACTGTATATTCAACCTCTCCATATACACACAATAAATGGAAACACTTTAACTATCTCAGCCGCAGATGATGTATTACCAAATATATCTAATGTTATTGTCTTTCCTATCTTATCAACTAATCTTATACCTGTTGGTCAACTTGTTGAAAACAATTGCACCTTGTCTTTTTCTCTTTCTTCTTCTAGTTGTTTTGTGCAGGATCAAGTGTTTGAGAAGACGATCATGAAGAGGCCTAAAGAGGGATGTCTATTTCTTATTTGACCAAGCCTATTTCATCTTTTCCTATTGTTTGTAATTTTGTTGCTTTTGGTACTTTTGATTGGTATAAGAAATTGGGACATCTCAATTCTAGTATGTTATAACATTTATTAAACTCTGATTTGCTTTGTAATAAGAATTATGCTTCCATTTCATCTTTTGCTTTTGATTGTGCTTCATGTAAACTTGCTAAGAGTAAAGTTTAATCATTCCCTTCTCATAGTTCACCGTTTTGCATATTTTCAATATTTTTGTAGTGACGTATGGGTCTTGCAATGGTGATATCTCGTACTTATTATAAATACTTTTTTACTTTTGTTGATGACTATTGTCGCTTTACATGGGTCTAGATTCTTTGTGCAAAGAGTGACATCAGAGGTCTTTTAAGGTTTTTTTGCTCTCATTGACAATCAATTTTCCTCCTCAATCAAGATCTTACGATCTCATTTGGGAAGAAAAAATATGTTTGATGTGTTTCAATCTTTCTTACAAAAAAAATAAATTATTTCTCATTGATTATATATATATATATATATATATATACACACACACACACGAAAATGATCTCCTAAACACGATGCTTAGGTTATGTTAAGCATCGATGGCAATGCATACCATTTAATTGGTGAATAAATTAATAATAGGTCTCATGTATTTAATAATTCACCAATTAAATGGTGTGCCATGTCACCATTGCTTAGGAGATCATTCTTGTGTGTGTATATATACACACACACATGGACAAATTTCATAAAAGGGAGTCGTGGGCTGAATTTGCAAGATATATACACAAAAAAACCAAAAATTTTGTGGCCGGTGGAAACAAAAAGGGAGAGGAGTCAAACATTGCCAGCCAACTTTGAGGAAATCTATTATACACACACACATTGGCAGCCAACTAATGGGTGAGATATACAAAAAGGCGGCTGCCTTGGTGGAAAAAATATATACACGCCAACAATGAAGAAAAAGGGAGAGAACGATAGAAAAGACGACTGGAACACAGCAAAAAAGGAGAGCTAAGTTCGTTTTATTTACACAACAGAAAAAGGCAGAGGCTGGAATTAAAGGGAAGACATATACGCACAAATGGTAGAATGTAGAAGGGCTGGTTGCTGTAGAATTAATTCTTTATATACACAAATTAACAAAGGTACCTTTGAGAAGAAAACAACTCGTCAAAGTAGAAGAAAAACACACAAGTACAAAGTCGAGAAATCCACGCCACAGATTTGAACTTTCCACTTTGCAGCACTGCACAACTGCTGCTTCTGCTTCTCATCCCTGACTTCACACACGCTTCACCACCACGGATTCGCACCTCCCATGGATTCATGGATCTACTTCGAATGGAAATATGGAAATGGAAGGGTTTGCACTATCAAAAATTGTGTTCTGAATTATTTCTTAATGTTCTGGTGTACAATGATTCAATACAAAAATATATAGGCAAAATGTTGAATCTATTCTCGGCTATAAAAATTTTATGGCTAAATGGCCTCCAATCTCCCTTGATTTCTCTCTAATTGACAACTCACTCCAACACTCCCCCTCAAGTTGATGCATAGAGATCTCTAATGCTCAACTTGTCAAGTGAGTTGTGAAAATCGTTTTTCTAGATAGCTTTGGTAAGGATGTCTGCTAGCTGGTCTTCAGACTTTACAAATGGAAATTTGATGATCCTGGCTTCCAGGTTCTCTTTAATAAAGTGTGTCCCCACTTCCGCATGCTTAGTTCTATCGTGTTGAACTGGGTTATGAGATATGTCAATGTCAGCTTTATTATCACAAAAAAGATTCATCTCTGAAGTAGGAGCAAAACCAATCTCCCTTAGTAATTGTTTGAGCCAAAATAGCTCACATAGTCCTTTGGCCATTCCACGAAACTCCACCTCTGCACTTGAGAGTGCTACCACTTTTTATTTTTTTCTCCTCCATGCAACTAGATTTCCACCAACAAATGTGAAATACCCCAAAGTAGACTTCCTATCTGAGAGATTTCCTGCCCAATCTACATCCGTATAGCCGTCAATCCTCAAGTGATGGTTTTTTGAAAACATGATCCCCTTTCCAAGGGAACCTTTCAAGTATCGTAATATGTGAATTACAGCATTCATATGATCCTTGCTTGGGCAGTGCATAAATTGACTTACTACGCTTACAACATAAGCAATGTCAGGTCGAGTATAAGAAAGATAAATTAGCTTGCCTACTATTCTTTGATATCTCCCCTTATCCGTTGGTATTTGGTGATATTAACCCAGTTTGTGATTTTGCATCATTGGAGTGTCTGCAGGCTTACATTCTAGATTCCTACTTCAGATAGTAAATCTAGAATATATTTCCTTTGTGAGAGGAATATGCCACGTTTAGACCTGGCTACCTCTATTCCCAGGAAATATTTTAGTCCTCCCAAGTTCTTCATCTCGAATTCAGTTGCTAATCGCTTTTGAAGTTGAGATATTTCTTCTGTATCATCCCTTGTAATTATCATATTATCAACATGAACTATCAAAGTTGTTATCTTGCCCATTCGATGTTTTAGAAAGAGAGTGTGGTCTGAATTACTCTGTTGGAAGCCATACTTCTTCATCGCCAAGCTAAATCTCCTAAAATATGCTCTAGGCGATTGTTTCAATCCATAGAGAGCTCTCTATAATTTACACACCAATCGTGTATTTGAAGAAGGCAATATA